ACACTGACACCAGGCCCATAATGACAATCTCTTTTCTTACTTGCTTTTATTAGGATCTTACATGCCCCCTGCCTGTGGATCAAGATGTCTTCCTGAGACATTGGCTTGTGCGTTACAGACATAAATTACAAAAATAAAAATTAAATGGAAGAGAAAAACAGCAAGTAATGGCTTTAGACATCTTTCCCACACTAATCCTCTCTCCCATCATTTAGGTTATAAGCACTCAGATTAGGGCTTGTCACCTCAGGATGACAATATCATGTGCATTTATGATAATACCATATCATCAATTTTCTGAGGAAATCTCACTTTCTGTCTTGTGTTTAACTTTCCACAAAAGGAACTTGTTAAGTGCATAGTTAATATAATGTAGTTTTAAATTATATATGATCCTTATCTACATAAGATAAAAATTTAAAGAAGTCCTCAGACAGATGAGTTATGATTTTTTATTTCTGAACACTACAGAGAGAAGGAGAGAGGGATAATGTTAATACAGAAGTGATAAAATGACATCCTCAATATAGACTTACTTTGATTTCCAGAATACTAAGATTTAAAACGTGGGAGATTTCACATCAAAATCCAGATTTCTGACTTCTTTGAAAAATACATAATAAAACCCAGAAATGTAAAACCCATAGACCTGAATTCCTGCATGAAAACAGCTGTCTGGAGACCACCGTACAGTTTACTGAATACTATATGGTATCAGTATAATTGACTGAATCTTGCATAGTATACACATCCCTGTTCACCACTACTGTGTTCTAAGCACCAAGGGCAACAGCAATTCCATTTATTGTTGCACCTACCCTGGCTTTCGCCTATGCATGGACTCAGTTTCACTCCTTATGCTATTGAATTTTACTCACTGGATGTGAGCGTAGTTGAGTTTGGAACCCTTGGCTTTGGCTTGACTGAGTCTTTGTACCTACAAGGTACTGAGTATCTTTCACCTCCAGGCTCTACCCCACATAGTCCCTGAGCCTACAATAACTCAGCCTCAGATTAGGATACAAAATTTGTTTCCTCCTCTAAGCTGGTATCCTGAAAAACCTATAATATCCTCATCAAGTAGCTCTCCTAGAAATGCCACTATCCAGGGACCAAAAATGCCACCTTCCCAGTCCTGTCTACTAGCAGTCTTTCACCTAGGTATAAAACTTTGCCATGATGAGTACAGGAGATACTTTTCTCCAATCTGAAAACTAGCAATATGACAGCCACTTAGCAACATGTGGTGAGTGAATGCCTGAAATGTAGCAAGTTTAAACTGAGATATGCTATAAGTATAAAACACATGTGGCATTTTCCAAGACTTAGTACGAATTAAGCATACCAATTGTATTAGGAATTTTTCTATTAATCTTATATAGAAATGATAATATCTCTTGATATATTGGGTTAAACAAAATATATCATTAAGTTTAATTTCATCTATTTCCTTTTACTTTTTAACATGGCTACAAGAAAATGTAAAGTTCCATATGTGTCTCATATTCTAGTTCTGTTGGATAGTGCTACTTTAGACCACAAAGGTAACAACTATCCAAAGAGCTATGTGTTTCCCTATTGTCACTTGACTAGCCTGCCCTTAGATGCAATCAAAGCATACAGCCAACAACTATGTCTCACTTTGTAAAATGCAGGAGATTGTTTTATCTGACTTCTTTAGGTGGTTTTCTGTTAAAAGGGTCCTTTTCTGCATGCCATTCTTCCTGTTTGTAATTAAATTGGCTAAGTTCCCATACTTATGTGAATGAGTACAGGGTATGTTGATGTATGTGTATGTGTACATGTCTGTGTGCACATGGACAGTCAGGAGGAAATAGTAGCAGGGAATCCTGGTAGGTAGTTAGGTTAGTAAGAGCCAGATGTATGTGGTAGTGGAAGGGTGTTGGAAAGAAGGTGCTTGCCCTCTGCAAAGAAAATCTTGAAGTGAATTGCTCTCGTTCACTTACCATAAATAACAGGGTACCAACCAAAGGCAGTAGATCCAACCCTGTCATCAAGAGGCTCTGGAAACAGAGATACTAAGGAGGAGTGAGGTGCCCTAGAAATACCTAAGAACAAAATTTCAAAGGAAAACTAAATAGTTGGAGGGATGGTGGGGATAGGACATAAGTCTAGAGGTCTTTCAACAGGTTTAGTACAGTCCATTTAAACCAAGCTGAATCACCGAAACTTGGAATGATCTAAACAATGAAGGAGTTGCCTGCACTAATATGACAGGTATGGTAGATAAAGTGTTGCTGACCAAGTCAACTGGCCTGCTCCCTCATTCACCAGGGGTTCTGTTTTGGGTGGTAACTCTTTGCAAACAAACGAATGAAGTGAAATTCTTGATACTCAAAATGTGGTCCCTAAACAGAAGCAGCAGCAGCAGCACCCTTAGGAGCTTGGTAAGGAGATCTTTTAGCCCTCCCCTGAACCTGAGTCAAAAAGACCAATGAAATTCTGCATTTTAACAGAAAGATCCTCATGTAATTTGTGTAATCATTAAAGTCTGAGAAGTAACTGAAGTTTAACCTGATTATATTATTAGCCTAATAAACTATTTTGATAAATAAACAATTGCAACCTTTCTTCTGAGTTAGACTGTCTGAAATTTGTCCCATTGGGGATCTGGTTTTCTTTTTCTTTGAACTGCAGCTAATAATACAGAATGTTTTGCAAGTAAATCAGTGGTTCCAGGTGGTTCTTGGATGGGCGCCTTGTAACAAGGCTATAAAAAGCCAGATTTTTCTCTTCTAAGTTTCCAACTTAAGTATTCCCTGAGGCAAATAACTTTGGCATAAAAGAGGCAAATAATTTCTTGTAAGAGATGAGTATCTTCATAAATAATGTGTGACCCCTGTGTAAGTCAAAATAAGGTGGGGAAGTGCCAAAATCAACTTTATTTCAGAATATCACAAGCTGTCACATAAACACAGGACTTTTGTACCAAAACTGAGAGAAAAGCAAATTTAACCAACATACTTTTGTTATTAGTTAAAACTTTTCTACTCCCAACAAAAAACCTTCTCTCTCTCTCTCTCTCTCTCTCTCTCTCTCTCTCTCTCTCTCTCTCTCTCTCTTCTCCTCTCCTCTCCTCTCCTCTCCCTCTCTGTGTCTCTGTCTCTCTGTGTCTTTGTGTTGCTCTCTGTCTCTTCTCTCTGTCTCTGTCTCTGTGTGTCTCCCTGTTTCTCTCTCTCTCACTCTCTTCTCTCTGTGTTTCTCTCTGTTTCTCTCTCATCCTTTGCTTGTTTTTATATCTTTCCCAGAGTTTATACAGTTACCACTGGATTACCTGATAAATTTCCATCCATTTTCCAACCAAGGAGCAAAATAAAATGTACAAGTATAGTATTTACTATTTTGAAACACAATTCCTCTGTGAAATTGTCTGTAAAAGGACTTTCTAGTTCAAATATAAAGTCTCAAACTTAACAGAAATACTCAAATGACAGTAAAAACAAATTTATCTGTGAAGATGTATTTTTATATATGGTATGAGAAACCAACCAACTTGTATTATGTAGCATTATATAATATCAATCATTTGAGCAATCACAGCAATAGTCTTCATGTCTTTGCCTTTGACCTTTGTTGTAGAGCTTTGGTGCAGTTATAACCTTAGCACCTACTGAAATTCAGGTGCAAACCTACAAAGTTTAGATTTATCCTGCTGTGACTGGCTTGGGTCTGGCTGCTGTGCTCAGCTCATTCCTGCTGCTGCCCTTGGGAGTAAACCTGTTGTGCCTCTCTGGCAAGATGTTCTGCTCCTGGACTAGCTGGGTGGTTCTGTCCCCTACTCTCTCTGCAGGGATTGCAGCTGCAGGGTTTCACCCCAGGCCTGTATGCCAGGCCTGAGCTGAGTCTGGAGGGGACAAGGTGGTGTAGGGGGGAGAGGAAGCTCTCCCACACACTCACTGGGCCTGGGCTAGGACTGGATCTTGGGGTCCCCAGAACATGGCAGAAATTCTCACTGGGCGGGTGGGGTGAGGGGGGTGCTGCAGAGTGGTGTGGGGGGTCCTAATGGGGTGGAAGATGGTCTCACGCATGCTGTACCTGGGTTTGGACTGGCAGGTCCCTCTGGCGCAGGGCAGCCGGAAGCTCTCCCACACACTCACCGGGGTCTGGGCTAGGACTGGATCTGGGGGTCCCCAGAACGTGGCAGAAATTCTCACTGGGCAGGCGGGGTGGGGGTGCTGTGAAGTGGTGGGGGGCCCCAAGGGGGTAGAAGAGGGTCTCACCCACACTGCGCCTGGGCTTGGACCCTTTGCCTTTGAATTCAGTGTTTATTGACCACCTGCATTCAAGATGCTTATGTATTTGTATCTGATTGATCACATGGATTTTTATTAAATAATTATACCTGGGTATTTGGTTTTATGATATTTGTAAAATGTAATTCATCAAAAGAAAATTCACATAAAAACCTGGATAAATCCTCATTTACAACTCAAAATACATACTCTTAATAGCCAAAAGTAATGACTTAATTAAAAAGTAGTCAAAAAATCTGAATAGACATTGTTTGGAAGACTATAACTCCCCTGGTGTAAACACACCTCAACATCACTAATTCTCAGAGGAACACGAATCAAGGCCACAGTGAAATATCACCTCACACCCATGAGGATGGCTACTTTTAAAAAGTGAAGAAAGAGATCCTGGTGTGACAGCTCATGGCTACAATCCCAGCATACTGGGAGGCTTAGACAGGAGGATCACAAGTCTGTGCCCTGGGCAATTTAGTGACTTAGGAGGACCCTATCTCAATTGGGGGTGGGGCGGTCATTGTGAAGGCCCTGGGTTCAATCCCAGAAACACCAATAAATTTTTCAAAGGACAAGAGATACAAGTGTTGGCCAGAGTGTGGGGATGAGAATATGCTTATATATCAGTAGTGGGAATATAAATTGGTATAGCCATGATGGAAAACAAAATATTACCATCCTGGCATGGACCTCTGGCGCCCCACCCCTTCCGCTGTCCCAGCAGGCCCCGCGAGGTGCCCGCGCAGTCGGTGACCTTCCCAGGTGAGCGGTGTCCGCCGAGGCCTGGGTGGTTGGTCCTGCGGAGATGCTTCAAAGCTTAATTAAAAATGTCTGGGTCCCTATGAAGCCGTACTATACCCAAGTCTACCAGGAGATCTGGATAGGAATGGGGTTGATGAGCTTCATTGTTTATAAAATCAGAAGTGCAGATAAAAGAAGCAAAGCCTTAAAAGGTTCAAGTCCTACACCTGGTCACGGTCACCATTAACAAGCTCTTGAGTACCCACGAGATGAAGCCTCAGTCTGCCTGTAAATTTTAGCAAGCTCTGTTAGATGGGAGCACAGAATGTCACTGTAACCTCCATCAGCAGCGTTCACTCTGCGGCATGAATAAATGCACCTGTGAGGTGCACCACCCAAAAAAGAAAAAAAAATATTACCATCCTACTATTGGGCATAGATCCAAAGGAAATGAAATCAGTATCTTGAACAGTCATATGGACACAGTATTACAGGCAGTATTGTTAATAGCCAAGAAGTAGACTGGACATAAGTTTAGAGCAGTACATGAAAATGTACACATACACACAGTAGAACATTATTGAGCATAAAATAAAAGGAAATCTTGCATTTTGCAATAATGCACATAAACCTGAAGGACATTATAGTAAGTGTATAATCCAGAAACACAAAACAAACCCAGTACACTCTGACTTACATATACAAATTTTAAAATTTTGAACTTGTAGAATCTAAGACCTGAGAGTGAAGAAATAAGGAGATGCTTGTTAAATGATACAAACTTTTGGTTGTAAGATGAATGAATTCTGGAGATGTAATGTCTGGCATGGTGACTAGTTACTAAGAATACATTACATACCTGAAATATTTTAAGAACAAGATGAGTTCTCACCACATACAACACATAATGGTGTGGTGCTGGATGTGTTCATCTGATTGTGATAACTGTTTTATGGTGTATATCAAATCATCACATGGCATACTTTGAATCTATATGATTTTTGTCAAATGCACCTCTATGAAGCTTCAAGAAAAAAAATTCACTCCCTCTTCCATGTAACTGAAACAGATGAAAAAGGACATATTGCCATGGTGACAAGTCTCCTTAAATTCCTGACCTTGAATCTCACCTAGACCTAGACCTGGCCTACCTCCAAGAAACCATACTGCATTTCTTCAACCAAATTATTTCTTCACTCCTCTGGACAACTATGTCACACCTTTTCCTCTCTGCTCCAGCCTTCATGATCTTGTCACCCATCACACTCTCCTTTGATGAGCCTTCTTCCCATCTCTGTGAGAAGTGGAAAGAATCAGAAAAAAAAAAAAACCTACAGCACTCTACCACCTGGATGGCTGACAGGGGCTTGCGCATCATCTTCTTGCCGGATCTGGCTAGACTGGCACAATTTTGTTATTGTTTTGTTTTGTTTGTTTTACCAGCTGGGGCTCCACTCACCATCTCCTTCTTATCTTCCTGGAAGTGTACATCCACAAACATTTTTCCGACAACATAAGGAAGTGCACTTTCAATAAAATTGACACATTTATCCCACTGAGGCAGCAAAGTTGTGGTCCCCTGAATTACCTGTGGGAAATAATTGATCTGGTTGAGTTTCATTTTGATAAAATATATGATCAAAAACTTTCAATCCATCTAAAGAAAAGAGTCTATAAAACCTTGTACAATCCAACTCATACACATATGTCATACAGCAGGGCAAAGGTGAAATGAAATGAAGAAAGGAACTCTGCTTCTCCCTATTTATATCTAAAACTAAAAATGTTTTCTCACAAGGAAAATAATGTATTTCACCTTTCTTTTTTTCCATTAGCCTAAGGAGTTTTTCCATTAGCCTAAGGATCCGGACAAGGGTATAGGTTTTCCATGGTCAGCAGGGATAGGAGAGGATCATGCTGAAATGTCCAGATAGTACTTAATGTCCATTCAGAACTGAAGTTCCACCAAGAAAGTTCAAGGCTCACTGGTGATCAAGGTCCCTGCCAGCCAGCATGTCTTTGTTCTCTGTAGCATGCGCCATGAAGCAGATCAGAACATGGCCCACCACGACTAAGCGAGGGAGCATATTTACACTGTGTCACAGAAGAGGATGCACTGATAAACAAGGAAAATACAGATGGAGCTGTTTTCCCCATCTGTCCCAATTATAGCATTATAAGAAAACATTTACAAACAAGTAAGGGACTTCCAGAGCAAGATTCAGAAGGTTCAAAAGTTTACTTGAGGGGATGAAAGCAGAAGGAATATGTCATTTAAATTGTCCCTCAAGGCTGGGGATGCAGGCAGCCAGGGAAAAGAGGGAGGCCCTGAGGATGGTGAGCAGAAGCACCCCTCGCAGTGTAAGATCCAGGTTGTCAGAGGAGGGCAAAAGTGATTAATGCTGAAGTTCACCTATTCTTCCTCTGCTTTCTGGAAACATGACCCCTGCCAAAGGTGACAGATGAATTTATTTTAAAACCTCTAGAGAAAGAGGTTCTACAACCTTCTTTGGTTAATTTAAGATTATATTTAGCACTTCACATTCAAAAAACATTCCCTCATATCTAACCTCGAATTCTTACACACTACTTCTTACACCTCTCTCTCTTTCTCCCTCTCTCTCTTTCTCTTCACAGTGGGGGTGGAAAGCAGCTGGGTACTGTCTTTGATGTGATCCGTAAGAGATAAAAATACACTCACACCAAAAAGTCTACTTGTTTTGTATCTTCACAATTTGATATGACCTACATATATGCAGTTATTTCATACTAATCTCTATAAAGTGACTTTATTTCTTTTTCAATCTTTATTAGTATATGTTTGCAGAATTTAATGACTACATTCCTACTCTTGGTCCCCTTCCAGTTTGCATAAGATCTATCCCTCCACTTCCTATTATGTATCTTTTATTTTGCTCTTATATTTTTCGATATAAATATCACATGGTTCCTCTGATAGGAGAAACCTGAAATATAAATAAAGTGACTTTATATTCTACTGACATTCGAGGGTCAAGATGCACCCAAACAATCACACTATGCTTCAACCGAACTGGCCCACTATCCATTTCTGTACTTAACTAGTTTTCCTAATAACTAAGATGTCTACACAAAGAAATCAAAGCTCATGAGATTTGCTATTCACAACTTTAACTGGAAAGAGAGAAAAATGAAATACTTTTTCAAAGCCACAAAATTTGTAAGTCCTCAAGTGGTAGCAGAACTGCTAATATGCAGGACTCAGACACACGCATGGACTAGCATCTGTGTCGCTCAGGAGGCAGAAAGAGCAGCCAAGGTACAAAGAATCAAGAGCCGGACAAGTGGGAAGAAAGAAGTTGACTCTGGCACTTAAGTGAGATGTCTGAGAAGAGAGAACTGCGTTAGGTGTCATGGGCCTGTAAGAATCAGAAGAGACTCAAGATTAAAGATTTAAGTAATAATAAAAACAAGATTATGGGGGCTGGGGAGATGGCTCAGTGGAATAAACACTTCTCTGACAAGCACAAGCTTCCACAAAAAAAAAAAAAAGATTATGCCAGGAATACTGGTAGATGCCTGTAATCCCAGTACACAGGAGGCTGAGGCAGGAAGATTTCTGTAAGTTCAAGGCCAGCCTGGGCTACAAAATGAGTTCAAACTTGAACTACACAGAGAGACCTGTCTCAAAAAAAAGTCATAGTTACAGGGATATAACTCAGCTGCACATGCACCTGCCTGGCAAGCACAAGGTCTTGAGTTCAATTCTCAGTACAAAAAAAAATAAATAAATAAAAAATAAATAAAATTATAACTCAAAATTAAAAATGAAACTTACAGTCTAACACATATATCATATACATTTTGAATATGTAGAACACTGAAAATGAAAAGATAGCTTAATGCAATAGATTACAAAAACTCAATCCTCTGGTCTAATTGAGACCTTTGGTCAATATCTCCCCTTTCCCTGCCCTCCCTTCCTCAGCCTTCAGTCATCAGCATTGTACTATGTTTCTAAGAGATAACTTTTTTAGATCTCATATATATATATGTGGGATCATACAGAATCCATACAGAAAAGAAGATTTAAAATCTTTCTCTTTTTTTGTATTTTAGGGAAGGTCTACAGGGTGTTCAGCATCTCACTATTAGATCAAACCTGTAGAGATCTGCCTGTTTACAACCTCCCAAAAGCTGGGATTACAGGCGCGCTATCATGCCCAGTCTCAATTGCCGTCTCAATGCACCCCAGGGGCAGGGCCAGCACAGCATGCCCAGGGATAGAACCCCAGGCCCCTTTGAAATCTACTTTAAATCTGACATATAAGTGACAATCTATTGAATGTGCCTCTCTGTACATTGTGATAGTATACTTAGTAATAACAATTATAGGGGGCCAGACAAATATCTCAGCAGATTAAAGCACCTGCTTAGGTAGATGCAGTGGTTGGGGTTCGATCCCCAGTGTGCCATGCCAGCCCGGCCCCCAGGGCACGCTGAGAGGGCAATTGAGACTGGCTGTGGTGGCATGCACCTATAAAACTAGCTCTTTGGGAGGCTGAACACAGGCGGATCACTATGAGACCCTGTAGACCCTTACTAAAATACAAAAACTAAAATTAAAATTAAACAACTATTTCAAATCTGCTAAAATAAATTTTTATGTTCTCAACACAGAAATACATTAGTAAGATAATAGAATAATGATGTCAATTAACATATTTGGTTTTTTTAATGTTGTTGTTGTTGTTTTGTGGTACTGGGGATTGAACTCAAGCCCTTACGCTTGCCAGGCAAGTGCTTATCCTACTGAGCCATCTTCCTAGACCTCAATTCACTTATTTGAATCTTTCTATCATATAGAGGTAGTTCAAATACCTATTCAATTGGAATACATGAATATCCCAATTACTATTTGTCAGTGAAACTTTTAACAAAAAAAATACAAACAAATATACTTTAAAAGATACAAACATAGACTAACAAGTGTTCAACCTATAATTAAAGTCACCCAGTTTAAAGTTGAGAAGTGGAGGAGAGTTTGGAAGCAATGTGGTGGCCCTGTCACCAGAAATACATCTTTATTCAGCGCAATCAAGGTCAAGCTTGAATGTACTTTTATTTTTTATCAGGTGCCACACCTGAATGAAAACAATTTGAAAAAGTAGAGTTTAAGCTACACATTCCCTCTGTTCCATCCCTAAAGATGATTTTTATTGGACCAGTTAATGTACAGATCGTTCTGACATGTTAAATTCTCTAGTGAAGTAACATCACAATTTTCTTAAACTCACCCGTGAGAATTCCAGCCACCTATATTGAAAACGCCTGCTAAGGTTTGGAATTCTGGAATAAACCATTCTCCACACCAAATAGTTGGCAATGGTCCTATGAACAGAAAAAAGTGCACATTTATTGTATTTCGGGTCAATATCTGATGCTCTGCAGAACACCTTCAGAAAAACGATTGGCAAAGTTCCACAGAGACACCTCTGGCTCATACAAAAATGCAGCATTTTCACTTGAGAAATGACATGAGATGATACAATGTCAATGAGAGCAGCCAAAATTGGCTTGCCTCTCAGCACCTACTACAGCTAGATGAAATAAAGATTCCAGCCCCAGGCTTAAGAGTGTACGTTTTCCTTTCCCTCTAAGGGCAGAGAATCCACTATTACCCAGGTTTTTATGTCAGGAAATTGTGAATACCTTTGAATTAGAAGTGACTTCATACAATTCACATCTATTCTTTGCTTTTGGAAACTAACAGTAAAATATTGACTAATATCAATCCTCTAAATTTGCACCCTGGCTTTATACTCTGTGAGCTCAAGAAAGTTGCTTAATCTCTCTGATTTATCTTTCCTTGTAGTACAAGGATGATGATCCTTACCTCACAAGGTTATCGTGCGGTTAAAATAAATAAGAAACTGCTCAGCAAGGAGTACTTTCCTAAGCTTTTTGTTGTTGTTCACTTCCAAACATATGAACAATCCCATATGTTTCTGTTATGCACATAAAACATACTTTTAAAACTCCGTTACATTTTAGGTATTGCCTTTTTCTAAAAGCAAAAGATGTCCTGACCTCAGAAGAATGTGTGTTCTGAGTTAATTGCTAACTTAATAGTGATGATGGATTTTTAATGACCAGTCGCCTCGCAGCTGTGCCATTACCATGGTGAATAATAACACAACGTCCTAAAATGGCTCTTGGGCCCATCTGAAACTTGACAGCAGTGTGGCATGATGATGGTAAGCAGCTCATCAAGAGCCACCCACGCTTTCATCTGCTGCTGCTCTAACAAGGGAGACCTGAACTCTGATCAGAAAAAAAAAAATTTGCAGCGTATATGCTAGTACATAAATGGGTGTTTTAATTTATATAGCAATGTAAGTAATATATTAGGAATATTTAACCAAATGCAGAAATAAACATTTTAAAAGAAAATCAAATTAACTTGAGAAGTCACTGAGCCTTCAAAAATTATTGTCATTCCTTAAGACATGTTATCCATATAGGATTAGGTTAATACCACAGTGGATATAAATCCACACTTCATATAGTCTTCTTAACTATTTAAAGCATTTTGACATCACCTCGTCAGATTACCATTCTCCTCCCTGCTGTCTAGCTAACCAAGGTGGCATACTAGCACGAGAGAATGGTCATTTCTACCATTTTCTTGTTATTTGCTTCTGCTGATATCATTAGTAATAGCTTTAGTTTCTGTGGCTGTGCAGTAATTTTCAAGCCACTTGTCACATGTCTTGGTAAGCTTAAACTAAACTAGATAATAAAATTCATAAGTCTAATGTGGGTACACAAAGTCACTCAAGACTATTTTTGAACAACTGAATGGAAACCAAACTGAGAGAGAGTCCCTGCTGTATATGCCATCAGGATCAAGTGAAGGGTCCATTCCCAATTTTATAGAACTTGTTAAAACCTTATTATTTTTTTCAATTGAAACATAGGAATCTAGAGGGCCAGCCAAATAGTTCAGCAGATTAAAGTGCCTGCTAGCAGGCGCAGGGGCCGAGGGTTCGATCTCTGGGCCTGCTGGGCCGGCCACCCCCGGGGTGCACTGAGACGGCAGTTGAGACTGGGCATGGTGGGGTGCGCCTGTAATCCCAGCTCTTGGGAGGCTGTAAACAGGTGGATCACTACGTGTCCGATCTAGTAGTGAGACCCTGAACACCCTGTGGAGCCTTCCCTAAAATACAAAGGAAAGAAAGAAAGATAAAGATCTAGATACAAAATTTTTCTTCTTGGCCCCATGGGATCTTCCTAAGGTGAGCACACTCTCTGTCTGAAATAACACCCAAGTCAGCCAAGTGAAGCCCTCATCCATGCTCTGCTCAGGCCGCTATCTCAAAATGCTATTTGATGCCATTCCTTTGGGTCTTTTGGTTACACACCCTTACTTCTGTACAGGATGAGCAGTGTTCACTGAGCATCTTCATCCTTAAGCATCCTCAAAAAATGTAAAGCAGAAATTCAGCACCCAGAGAACTTGAACTCAGAGAACTCAAGATTTCAGTTTGTGCATATATATTTTTAAATCAAGGGATACACTCTAAGAACAGATGGCATTGGTTATGCTTAGATCAAGAATGATCCCCACACAACTCTCGAGTGCTCAGAGGCAAGGCTTTTGGAAGTTGATTGGATTTGGGGAGTGCTATAGCTGCATGTGACATTAAGAGGCAGGGCCTGACCGTAAGAGGCAGGTCACCAGGGTAGAGTTCCCTAACCTGCTTTTCCCTTCTCTGCTTCTTACCTCTGGGAAATGAGCAGCTCTCCTCTGTAGAAGGCCCATTCACCATGCTGTTTCTGTATTTGAACCTGCCAAACATGGACTGAAACTTTTGAAATTGTAAGCCAAAATAAGGCTCTCTGTTAAGTTGTGGGTGTCAGATATTTTGTCCCAGCAATGAGAAAATAACTAAGATATAATCCTTTCTTCATGGACTGAGTCAAGGCATTCTGAGCAATCATATGCAGACTAAGAGTTCTAGGTGCTAGGGAGATGGAGAGATGGTGATGTACTTCCTGATCTCCTGGAGCTTATAGCTGAGCAGGGCACATGAGGTAAGTGCATAAATAATTATTTAGAAGGTCCCAGCACCCAAAAGGTATACCAAACACTTCCCTAGGAGAACAAAAAAATGCACACCAAGAAACAAAGATAGGTTTCAAGAAAGAGACAGTGTGAGTCATTCCCAAAGGATGAAAAGGTGGTGTAGGTAGCAGAGGGTAAACAGGCTAATAACAGAAGAACAGACTATGTACCAGAGGGGATGATGAGCACAGCCATTGCTCAAGAAAGTAGGCAGAAGGCCAGTCACACTAGGAAGATGCAGGCAGCAACCATGGTCTAGGGCAGTGCTGGTGAAGCTATAGCACACATGCCACAATGGGCTGTTCATGTCACTGAAAGCTCTACAAGGTTTGCCATCACTGGTCTAGAGTCGAACATGTCAATGAGGTAGGCTTCTAGCCCTCTGCAAGATCTGTGGTTCCTTTGTCCTTAAAATACTGCTCGCTCCATTATCAGCTATCCTGGCTCCACCGGTATAGATTACAAGGTCACTAGCTGGTAGATATCCTTCCATGAATTCAAAACATAGTCTCTCCAGAGGGTGGTGATGACCCAGATCAAGTGGGGAAGTTGTAGGTAGACCACAAATCTTGGTGGTGGAAAAGGCTGTGTGGCAAAAGTAGAACCGGTCTTTAGGAGATGGTTTCCAGACTGCAGAACCACCACACCACAGCCTTCTCAAACTATCTATAATCCTTACATCACAGCAATAAAAGATGTGTTATTAACCCATTTTACATATTAGAAGTTTCAGGTTCAGTACCACTATGTAAACTCCATATTATGTAGAGTGTGTGTCTCAAATTAGTAGAATTATCCAGGGAGTTTTTAAAAGTTAGGCTATACCAGGCCAATTAAATTAGTCTCTAGAGTAGGAACCAGCACACATGTTTTTAAGTCTTCCCACCAAGTCCAATGTGCAGCCAAATAGAAGAACCACTGTAGTGAGCCATGCGGGCCAGATCAGCAACAGATGTGTCCAACTGTGAAGCCTGTGTATTTTTCCCTACACCATACAGCAATGAGTGAAAGCCTATGTTCCCTGGCCAGACACTGAGACCCCAAAAGACTAAAAAATATTGCCTTGCTGAAATCCATGAACACGCAAAAGAATAGTCAGGACTTCCTGGCCAAGGCATTACTAGGATGATAGCCTAACAATGAGACCTCTGAGAGCAGGAAGATGGAACGCTGCGAAGCTTACACAGCAGGACGTTGGTGTTGATGAGTGGCTCAAGCATGTTATAAAGATGCTGACAGAACGCTGTGGAGCACAGCTCAGGCGGGCTAATATTACCACCCCAGAAACAGATAAGACCATAATGCCTGAAGCACTGCCACCTAATGCTCACATACACGAAAAACAGAACAAAATCAAACTCAGCAATCATCCTTGAAGATAATACATAATGTCTTTTTTTTTTTTCAAAAAGCATTTTCAGCAGTATGGTAATTCCCCAAATGGCAATAAATAGAGGAAAGCAAAGCATCCCCAAGGAGAAACCATCACTGCGAAAGCACTAGGAAATCTTTCCCCAAAGCCTCTGACTTGGAAGATTTGTTTTTTTAAGAAGATTTGCTACCTCGTGTTCTGAATTAGCAACAGCTTACATTTAAGAGATGAGAAAACTCCGTCCACTGATGCTCATGACAGGACTTTGGAGTAGTTGGCCATATCATTATTCCTCTTTTCAGATGATGAAAACCTAAACCCGAGGTTATGGATATGCCCAATTCGAAACCAACATGTAGGTCTTCAGCCTAGAAGCCCCATATATCTTTTTCTACTCTCCTGGAGAACTGTTCCTTATCTTTTGGGCTTGTGCACATATGCTATCTCCCTGGTGGTGGTGATGAGGCATCTGACACCTAGTTAACCTCTAGAGGTTTTTCCAGAAGAGTCCCCTGTGTTAAAAGTACCATGTTATATGTCAGAGCTCCAAAAGGAGTTACAAAAGTGCTTGTCCTTCCGTGGCCATGATGTTATGGTGGAGTAGGCAAAGTGGTGCTTAAAAAAGTGATCATTTCAAGAAAATGATTTAAGTTCTTCAATAGAGGTATATTTTGTAAAATTCTAAATCCTTTTCCTCTAGCCACACAGACTATTTTCCAGCTTCTCTCACAGTTAGATGAGCCACATGACTGAGTGATGCCTTATGAACCATATACATCACAGTGACACATCCCACTTTTAGGCCTACCTACCAATACCTATGCCACCTCTACTTTCTATCTTTTGCTATCTGGCAGATGAATAGAGAGGGTGCTAAAATCTTGGAAGAGG